AGTGTGACACTAAAGATACCTTAGTACATTTAGTATTTCCTACGTACATTTACCTTTCTTGTAACCAAGTAATGTATCTTACGTATCAATTTAAATAACCTAAGTTAAATAAGTAAGTTAATGATTATCTTGTATTGGTAGAGGACAAATTTTCGGAAACGAAAGCTTGATGCTGGAGCCCTGGGATGTCTTCAGTGTGGCCACGCGAGTCACTCCGTCGCCCCCGGGGTGTGTCTCGATGATCCTCGCCAGTCTCCACTGGCATGGTGGAGTGTGCTTGTCCTTGATGAGAACTACGGAGCCCGCTGTCAGAGTGGGTCCCTTGGAGCTCTGCCACTTGCCTCGTTGTTGGAGTAGCCCCAAGTAGTCTCTTGAGAAGCCCCTCCAGAAGTATTGATAGATCTGTTGGAGTTGTTGAAAGTATTTAAGTCTGTTGGTAGGGACTTCGTCGTATCGATAATCCGGTAATGCCACTAGAGTTCTTCCTATCAGGAAGTGAGCTGGTGTAAGGACTTGGAATACTTCTGAATCAGAAAAGGGAATAGGACATAAAGGTCTGCTGTTAAGGATTCCCTCTATCTGAATTAATACTGTTGAAAAACCTTCATAGGTAAGTAAACTTTGTTTCAGGACACGCTTTAGATTATAATTGCAACTTTTAACAGCGCCCTCTGCCAAACCATTCATGTGAGGTGAGTAACTAGGTACAAACTTCCATACAATACCTTGCTCGGTACACGAGGTTGTCAATTCGTTAGAGCTCGTGTTAAGAAAATTGTATAACTCCCTTAACTCCCCATCGGCACCCCGGAAGGTGGTGCCGTTGTCGCTCACCACCACTCGTGGCTTCCCGCGTCTGGCTATGAACCTTCTAAACGCCGACATGGAGCTATGAGTTTCTAGACCTGTAACAAGCTCAATATGTACGGCCTTCTTTGAAGAACATATAAAAATGGCTATATAAGACTTGTAAGTTTTGTAACCACGCCCCTGCCTGTCTTTAAGTAGAAATGGACCTGCATAATCTAGTGCCACATTGTAAAATGGTGGTGCTGGTTGTTGTACTCTGTGACCTGGTAGGTCACCCATCATAGGCGTTCTTGCCTGTGGCTTGGCTCTGAAGCAAGGTACGCATTCTCTATAAATATTATTGGCTAAAAGCTTACCCTTGATAGGCCAGTACTGCTCCTTCATGCTAGACAGCAGCAGCTGGGGTCCTGCATGCATGACGCGGACGTGCTCGTTCCTCATAATTAGCTTGGTTAATGTGTGATTGCTGTGTAGTATGATGGGGTGTTTTTTTTCAAATTCGTAGTGTGATTGACTAAGACGACCTCCCACCAATGGTTTAAGACTCAAAAGTTTTGAGGTTTTAGGCAATTGTGAATTATTTTTAAGTAGTTTGTATTCATTAGGAAATGATTCTATTTGTGTAAATATTATTAATTTATTAGCAGCTTGCCTTTGTTCCTGACAAGAAATTGCACCTGTAATTTTGTTATTTTTGTTTTACATTTGTGCAAATATCTTAGTATGTATGCAATATATGAAATAGCTTAGTGTCACTGGACCACCTTGAAATTAAATCATTTATGAACGTGCTGTCGTTAGCCCCATTTTGTGTTGTGTTGCATAATGTTTTGTGTGGGGATTGTTTTGCCTGAGTTTAGCCCCTTGTGGTTTACTCAGAAATGTTGGACCTTCAAACCAAAATTTAGAGGTAGATGTGCAGTTAACCAATTTGTCTGGTGAAACTCCCCTTGAAAGCAAATCTGCAGGGTTTTCATTACTAGGAACCCAACGCCATTTGGACTGGTCTGTTAGAGCTTGAATCTTGGTAACTCTGTTGGCTACAAATGTATTGAGCTTATGAGGTTCTGTGTTTATCCACGCTAAAGTGATGGTAGAGTCGGACCAGTACTGAATGTCGTCTATAGGTACTTTGAGTGCTGACTGCACGTCTTTCATATTGACTGCCAACAATAACGCCGCACTCAATTCGAAGCGGGGTATAGTTTGAGTTTTTAAAGGTGCTACTCGGGTTTTTGCAAATAATAATCGAACTAGAGTTTGGCCTTGTGTATTGGTTGTAAGCACATATATGGCTGCCCCATATGCTTGTGTGGAGCTGTCTGCAAACCCATGTAATTTGAAAGTTATATAATTGCTTATTGTAACTACTCTGGGGATCTGTAACAATCTTAGGTATTGAATTGAATTGTGAAATGTTAACCAATCCTTTAAAAGAGTTTGTGAAATAGGTTGGTCCCAGTCCGACCCGTCCACCCATAGTCGTTGGATGAAGCATTTGGCAAGAATTAAGCTTGGGCCTAATAGGCCTAAAGGATCAAAGATACTTGAAACTCGAGATAAAATAACTCGTTTTGTTACATTATTTGGTATAGGTTGTAAGTTAATTAAATAATTCAAATTGTCGTTTTCGTTTGACAATTCAAGTCCTAATATTTTGTGTGAGCTATCCCCTGTTTGTCCAAGTTGGACGCCTTGTGGCGTTGTTGTACTTTCTGTTTGTGTAGGTAGTACTTGTTGAATATGTGTTGAATTGGTTTTCCACTTACGTAGATGAAAGTTAGCTGTGCGCAGGACTCAGTCTACCTCCAGGACGACCTGCGCGATCCTGTGCTCATCGTCACCTGAGAGAAGTAAGTCATCAGCGTAGAACTGCTCTTCGATCGCTGCGGCCGCTGCGGCTGCCACCGACAACTCGGCTGACGACCGTGCTGCATCTGGAAGTTGTTGCAAAGCAGTGCGAGTTTCTTGCGCCAAGTGCAGTAAGCAGCGTGTTGCAATGTGCGGCGCAGGTTTCAGTCCAAAGCTGAGTGTTGTTAGTTTGAAAGTTTGAAGCTCATGGTGAGGCTCCTCCCTCCACAGAATGCATTGTAGAGGTTGCTGATCAGCATTTATGTGTATGCAACAACAAATTTTTTGTATGTCGGCGTTAATTACATATTTGTGCAATCGAAATCGTAATAAAATGTGGTTAAGTGTTTGATTGTGCCCTTCTGCAAAATATCATTTAGAGAATATCCGGACGAGGTTGGACAAGAGGCATCGAAAACTACCCTCAGGGGTGTTGTAGACTTCTCTAGGTTGACAACAGCATGGTGTGGTAAGAAATTAAGAGGGACGTCAGAGGTAGTACATTTCTCCATGCGCCCTGCTTGTTCAAATTCTCGCATAAATTGAGTATACATTTGTTTAAACTCTTTGTTTTTAGAAAATTTTCTCTCCAATGACAGAAAACGTTGTTTAGAAATGTGCTTGGATTCGCCTAAAGAGGTAATAGGTAGTTTGAATGGTAAATTTACAACAAAGTTGCCCTCAGAGTGGCGGGTGTGCGTCATAAACACTTCCTCGCATTGTTTGTCATCATGGGACAACACTTGGTCGTCGGTGGAGGTGAATGGATTATCACCACATTCCTCCATTTCCCAGAAGTGTTTCAATTGAGTTTTTAATTATAAATTGCATCATAACTGTGTGGGACTTGCTAAAGACCCTGATACTATCCATCCCAGCTTTGTCTTTTGTAATATAGGATAACCCTCTCCCAGACTATGCCTTCCAATGCACAATAAGTTGTAAAATAGCTAGGCCCCAATGAATAAGTCAACCTCACCCGCTGAGGAGAAGTTTTCGTCTGCTAATTTGATGTGAGCTGGAATGTTCAAGAATTTAGTTTTAATTATTGATGAATTATAATTTGGTAAATTACAAATTTGTGGCACAATTAAACAAGTCAGTTTTGTTTGAAATTGACTATCATTTGCCTCAATATTGATGTTACAATAATCTTTGATTTTAGTTGAATTATCATTAAAATCTATCACTTCCATGTTGATATTTCTTTTGGATAGTTTCAACAATTGAAAAGCCTTTTCTGAAATAAAACTGGATTGTGAGCCACTATCTAGTAAGACTCTCAAGTGGTGGGTTTGATGTCGCGAGTCGTATGCTCGGACCACCGCTGTAGACAAAAATACCATTTTTTCATTTTTGGTTGGGGCGGTTACCGCCTTATTATGTGTATGAATATTGATTGAACCTGCATTTGCTGCTGGCTGTACAAGTTCCCTTACTTGCACTTGATTACTTGATTGGTTGGTTTGGTGAGAGTGCAGCGAGGTACTTGAAGTTGGTTGCGCAACATGCATCGTAGAAGGAGTCACCTTATCAATGTGTAAAAGTGTGTTATGCTTACCTTTGCAGTACTTGCAGTGCGAAGAGCGACAATTGGTCACATTGTGATTATTACCTAAGCAGTTTGTACACAACTTAAATGATTTTACAGCCCTATAGCGTTCCCTTGCATTCAGAGCCAAGAAATTGTTGCATCGGTTAAGATAGTGCCTACCTTTACATTGTGGACACGAAGGATTTATAGTTGACTTTGAGGATGTGGTTACCAAACTTTTCCGTGCATCCGAGCCTCCAGGTTTAGTAACATTCATGTTGTCGAGAATGTCAGCTCGCCTCCGTACAAAGTTTTTAAAGTCCTGCAATGAAGGTAGCACATTTGAGTTTTGATTTTCTTCCCATGACCGTTGCATCAAGGGAGGTAATTTGTTTGACATAAAATAAATGATATTTAAGTCCCAATCATTGACAGGTATATTAAGAGTGTGAAGTGATCGCAAATGCTTGTTTATATTATCAATTAATGCTCTAAGTGACTTGGTGTTTTCAGTGGAATTGGATGGAATGTCGAAGAGAGATCGCAGGTGGTTTGAAACTTGTAAGCGTTGGTTGTTGTAACGCTCACATAACAGCCTCCATGCCATTTGGTAGCCATCAGACGTGTATTCCACTGAATTGACAACCTCGAGAGCTCCGTCCTTCTGGCAACTGCGAAGATATTTGAACTTCTGTATTTATTTTAATGAACTTTGGTTTATTAAGGCGTCAAAAGTCTCCCTAAATTCAAGCCACTCCCTAAAGTCACCACTAAAACTGGGTAATGCAATTTCGGGAAATTTTATTTAGTCAATGCATTCACTATGAGATGGTTTGGCTTCAGGTGTAATATGTTCGTTACTAAAAGCCTTAACCAGCCCTTTGGCTCTGGCTAGGCTCTCGAAGTATGGTTCCCCGAATTTGGCACGTTCGAGGATTTGACTATCGGTGTCCTCGGACAGGCTTTCTAATTCGGTTTGAATTGAATCAAACTTATCATAAGTTGCTATTATATTTTCGATACGTAATTCAAGGTTTATAACACCATCTGCATTGAGTGGTGTTGACAAGTTGTCGATAAAATTGGTAAATTGGGTAAGTTTACCCTTGTGGGCTGCTCTACTGCGTGAAAGTTGTTGAATATCGTCCATGATTGGATAAAAATTGGTTAAAATTGTAATTGAACGAAAGATAGAGGGATTGGAATGGAAAATAATAAAGAAGGAACCAGCTCACTCTCCTTTAGAAGCACGTTGAGGTGTGGTCGTGGTTGCACGTGGTCATCGTTGAGGTTATGTATGTCTCCAAGTAGTTTTTTGCGGCGTGGCACTCGGTTCCTACGCTGCTCCATCTTGTTAATTTGCTGTAGTCCAATAATATTATACCCAAAAAATGCGAAAAAATATAAACATTCTAAGAGCTTTATGCGGGGTATGGTGGGGAGCTCATCCATATTCTTTAAAATTAATTTATAATGCGATTATAAGAAGTCGATTAGATTATGCCTCATTTCTTCTTGAACCCGCTAGTAAAAAAGGATTAAAAATATTAGATATCATTCAACAAAAGTCTTTAAGATTAATTATAGGCGCTATGAATTCGTCGCCTATATATGCCTTACAGATTAAATGCGGTGATCCTCCACTTTTTATTAGACGACAATATTTATCGGATTCCTTTTTTATCGGGTTCTTTAATTTTCCAACCATCCATTAATCCCTAAAATTCGTTTGCTTTCTCAGTACATTTCAATTAATTCAGGAAAATACTGGCGTAATAAAGAAAAACCTAACCTAGTGAAAAGCTATGAACAATATAATTCCTTACTAGATCCTATTCATAGGTCGGTGACTCTGCCTCTTCTCCAATTGGTTTGAAGTTGCACTTTTCAAACCTAATGTTATATTAGATATAGGATTAAATAAATTTTCTATTGAATCAAATAAAAAAATGTATTTACGTTGGACAAGAATTTCCCAGATTGTCATTATATTTTTACAGATGCTTCTAAAATTAACTCAAAAGGTTGTACTGGCTACGCAATATACCATCAACATTGGAGTATAGTTCAAAAAATGAAAAGTCCTCCCGAATTTTCAGTTTTTACTGGAGAAATGTTAGCCATTTTACAATCAATAAAATATTGATATCTTTTTAAATTAAAATCAAGCGTGATATTTTCAGATTCTCTAAGTTCTTTACAAGCATTGTTATGCAATCCTTTCTATGACATTTCCCGCAATTCTTTGATATTTGAAATTAAGAAACTTCTATTCTTATACCAATTCCAAAACATCAACATTTCTCTTGTTTGGATTCCGAGTCATATTGGTATATCTGGTAATGAATATGCTGACAAACTTGCTAAACAAGCTATAGTTTGTGGGGATACTTTCTTATTTAAGAATTATTGCTATGACCTTATAAGAACTACGAAATTATTATATAGAGAGACATGGTCAAAACCACAGAACACTTAATATAGCTAGTAGAAATGTTGTACGAGCCGGGAACGCGCGCCGTGTATATGGCTTAAAAGCCAACTACTATAATTTCGTGACTCAGTTCAAAACAAACCGTCGTCACGTTTTAGTCGTGGTGCAAGTGGTTAAAAATGGTCTATTGCAGTGTTTCGAACTGTTCGGGAAAGGGTTGTTGTTCTTATAAAGGAATTTCTTATCATTGGTGAGTAAAATAATACATTTTTAAATCGATTTTATTCAACGATACTTTGCCCTTCAACGCATCGTAGTATGGCCGCTGGTCCCAGACGCCAATTAAGGATGTGCTTAGATTTTAGTTTATCGACGCTATCGATATTCTATGCCTTGTATAATCAATTCTAGCAGGTAATTTTTAGAAATAAATTTTGCTGTTAAATAAAAATCGTAAATTTTTATTTAACAATAAATATTTTTTTCTTATTCAATCAATATTCTTATATTTTTGTAGTTTTCCGATAAACCCAGAAGTTAAGGAAAAATGGATTGTGGCGACAGGGAAAAAATTGGTTTCCTTCTAAACATTTTCAATAAAAAGATTTTAATCCTACAAGAAAACGCCGTGTTCTTTTGAATCATGCTTATCCGACTATTCACGTTTGGACAACTTTTGAAAATGTAAGTATCTTCTAAATAAATAAAGTATTTTAGTAAAATACAAACCATCCCGTTGTTCTATTATGCAAAACAGTAAAGAAATTATGTGGCGCCACAAGTACATTTTTGATACTTTATAATTCGAAAACGAAACGCTTTACGACATTTTGTGTAATTATACTGAAATGAAGTCAGTCTTGCTGTCGCACGGATGGGCCAGCTCGAACCGGGGTGGTACCACGACCTCACAGAAAACTAGCGTGAAGTAGCGGTTTACCTCTGCGTTTCGCTTGGTGAGTGCAGGTGGTCGGAGGCCCTTTTTACTGGAAATGAGGCATTCCATCATAGGCCTCACGGGTGACAACGCATCTACATTTTGATTTGTAATAGAGGGTAGATGTAGATGTCTATGGGCCACAGCAACCACTTACCATCAGGTGGACTATGTGCTCGTTTGTCACCGCTATCCTACAAAAAAAGTCAATACAAACAAAATTCTATCTATTTATGATAGTTTCAGCTCGCAAATGATTGGTTTGTTTTTGTTACTGTAACTTGTTACTTCATCGATTTATGTTCTAAATATAACTAAAATCATTTCTATTTGCGGCGCTAATGTCTGTGTCGTACCACTTTAAAACACCTTTTTGAGAATGATGAATGGAAAAATGTTTGTTAATCATTATGTTTTAATTCTATAATTGTCCCCTTGCTACTTTTTGCAAAGTAACTATTAAGTTACCAAACATGTTATTTCAGGTCTCAGATATCCAAGTTTTCGTAACACCATCAAAATCTCCGTCACCTTCTATGTCATCCAAATCTGCTAAGCGAGCGATATAGTTAGATCCGGACATAATGAAAACTCCCAGAAAACGAAAAATGCAACGTATTATAAACGAAAAGGAAAATGTTATAAAAACTCAACGATTGAAAATAAAAAGTTTACAAGGTAAAAACCGGAGATATAGAAAAAAAAATTATAGAGTTGCAAGAAATAATAAAGGAATTACAATCAAATAGATTAATTAATAGCGACCAAGCCTTTTTTTTAGAAAACACCAACGTTAACACAAAAGAGTTATTTAAAAGATGTGAGAAGATATTAAAATCTAAAAAAATTAACACGCGAAAAATACTCACCGAGCCTTCGGAGTTTTGCAATGACGCTACATTTTTATTCGCCGAAGACATATCTTTACGTAAGACGCAAGTTTGAGACCTGCTTGCCTCATCCCAGAACCATTAAAAAATGGTATCAATATTTTGACGCAGAACCTGGTTTTACCACAGAGTCCCTTGATGCTATAAAATCTAAAGTTCAATCTACACAATATTCAATATTACGTAATTTGGTGTTGGATGAGATGGCGATTCCATCAAATGGGATGGGAAACGTATGCATGGTTATGTTAATTTCGGAAACAATTTAAACGATGGTGGGGATAATTTGTGTGAAGCTAAAGAGGCTTTAGTATTCCTTGTTACTGCAATTAATGGTATGGACTATAGAAAGGTATACAGATATTCGCCTTCACCATTTGATGGAAACCTCAGCACAAAAAGTATCAAAAAGACAACTTTTAAATAAATATTCGCATTTTACAGGACAATAAATAAATAAATATTTCAATAAATATTTTGTTTTTGAAATGATGAAAATGTCTTAATTTTTTTCTATTTTACTGTAAAGTTTTACTCCTTGTAATTAATTATTTTTTTACTTCACGTTTTTTATAGCATTAAGTTTATTTCATTAAATTTACGTTTCATATTATATCATTTTACTGTTTTATTTTATCACATATTTATTACATACATTATTCCGTGTCGATATTTTATCGATAGTTTTTTGTCAAGCACTAGCGTATATGAGTTGAGTGTGTTAACTACCTGCAAGGAGTGGGGAGACTAGCGGCGGCAGTGGTACCCCAGGTAAATTGAAACAAAAACAAAGGCATTTCTATTCCGCTATATTATGTGTTCTGTGGTCAAAACATTGGAACAAAACCAAAACGACAAAAGGCTGTCACTATGCCAAAATTCAACCCATCATTCCTTCCAAGCCTTGGTTTTATAAATTATCCTTAAATAAGAAACATACATCAATGTTATGTAGAATGCGCTTGGGTCACTGCCGTAATTCCGTTCACCTTGCTAGGCTTTATATTAAAAATTCTTCAATATGTGAATGTGGTTTGAATATTGGTGACCTCAACCATATTTTCTTCTTGTGTTCTTTATATAATCATACTTCATTATTTAACACTTTGGTAAATCTTAAAATTCCTCTTCATACAGAAATTCGTTCTCTTTTATTTTTTTCTAACAAAGTAAAAATGTTTTCAACTGTTGTAAAATTGTCTTATGGAATTTTTAGATTTAGATAACATTAAGTTATAAAATTTTATTCATTATTTAGCAATCAATCGTCTTTATTTAGTATTATTCATTATTTTAAATGTGGTATTGAGTTTAGTATTATTTTAATTCAACATAACATCCATCATTTATTGAATAAACTTCAGTACGGGTCACTTCATGATTCATTATTATAGTATTCTATGGTTCTTAACATTATAATTTCGGTTTTTAATCAGAATCGTATTTTCTCTTTAGATTGTACGTCGTTTCATTACAAGCACGTTAGTACTTATATTACGCTTTTATTACGTTAGTACTCTTATTAGTTTGTGTTTCAGTTTATACAAAGGCACAGAATAAATAATAGTACTACGTAACAAAGGTACCAAGCACAAACTAATAAGAGTACTAACGTACAGACGACAATCTTCCATAGTAAAAAAATTGGTCTATAGCGAGTGATAGCGAGCCTCAAAAATTGAAAGTGACATTTAGGTTCTATGGCAAAGGCATTTATTTGTTTCAGCCTAGTAGCTAGTGGCTGTAAATAATCCTCCCAGAACTTTGAAAATTTATCTTTATTGGTTTAAATTTATGTACGTGTTCACAATCTGACCACGTACATAAAGGAAAATGGCGAACTCCCAAACAAATTTTATGTGACCCTTTTTTTGCGTCTACAAATGCAA